TTTTTCTTCTTTTGTACAGTTAAGGTAAAAGATGCCTGTTTGCCAAAAGCCCGCTTGGCATTTTTGAGCATAGGAGAAGGAACCTGAAGCGATTTCAGGCATATTGCAAGTCTTAGAAACATTTCAAAACTAGCATAAGAGAAAGGACATGAAAATAGGGGAGTGCGCAGAGCAGCGTCTTTTAGGCTCGCCTTAGCGGTGGTTCAATCTCTCTACTAAAAGTCATCATATTTCTGCTGTACCCCACCGCTGTCGCCCAAAATGACGTTGTGCAGAAGTTAAATCCCAACCTGTAAGCCTGTGCTTTATGCTGTTTTCACTCCCAGCTAGCCAAAAGAACAGGTCAGCAATTTATTCCTCCTGGCAAAGCAGAAATGGTAACAGCATCTGGTTTAAAGATAGAGAGGTGAGGTGCTTTCGCTGACTACCGTTGCCCACTGGTATTCCTATTAGGTGTAACGTGATCCGCAGGTGGCAAATACGGCCGAGCGCTACGCAACGAAAATAAATGGCTACTCATTAAAAATATATTTCAACTGGTAATGTGTTTTACGCCTGTCCCTTGCAGCCTAACTGTGCTTGTTCCCCTGGGTCCCCACCTGCGATACTGTCCGCACGAAAAGAGCTTCCTCCGTGAGTTAGAAATCGACTCCTAAATACTGCCTGTCTTTACTTTCACGTCGTCTGCCCTGGGCTTGGCGTGTGCCGCTCAAGGGCGCGCTGCAGGACTGTTTCAGCAGGCAGCATCTCGTGGATCCCGGTCCAGCAAAGCCCCCTGGTTGCAGTTAATTGGCTGTAATTGGCGTGTAGGACGTGCCCACAAACCGTGCTGCCGAGGTGCTGAAAGAAGAGCCTGTGTTAAAGTGTTTTCTTGCAGAGTAGGAATGTTCTGCTCTAAGGATGGAGGAAAGGCGAGAGTTTCGGCAGCACTGAAAGTTTCCCTGAGATAACTGACAACCATGCCTTTTAATCCCTAAAAAGTACCCGTTGTTTTTCCCCCTCCCAGGGATGTTAATTGGTGTCACAAACAGCAGTAGCCCTCACCGTGCACTTTGCTGGCGCAGAGGAAAGCCCTGAGCTCCGCAGAGCTCATTTGCAGCATCACCTGAAGAAAAAATGAAGACAGCCTTCTGGCAGGCGGGTAATTAGCACAAATTGGAGGTCTCTCTTGGAAGGCGTGTCTGTATCAGCAGCTTTTGTTCCGCAGGCAGCATTGCTGGGCGGCAGGCTGAGGGGGCAGCGGGGAGCAGCCCTGCGGTACAGCCGTGCAGGGCAGGCGCAGCAGTCCCGCCAAGGGACGAGTGGGGCACGGAGGAGGGATGTGTCGGGCAGGCCCCTTGGTTCCACCCGAGTCCTCTGACCAGAGGGAAAGGATCCTTCAGCTGCGGAGTATTTCAACAACCCACATTCAGCTTACTGTGAGGGATGTAATTATTTTTGGTAGCGTTAACAAAATAGGAAAAAAATGCAAACAAATCCTCTTCCTACCCAGCAAGTGTGACTGGCGCTTGACGGTGTCAGTAGAAGCAGATATTCTGTCTTTGATGAACGTTGAACCCATCTCAAGGTGCATAGAAACACACCCCGAATGATGGGCGAGTCATGGCATTTAGGTGTCCATGGTAAGGTCTTGTTAGGAATCAAAACCAATTTTAGGAGACGTGTTTCAATGCGTGAAGTGGTGTGTATAGGAGTGAGTCATTGGCAGGTGATATTTGGGCTTTTTTCTTACACCTCAGAAGTTCACAAACGCAACTCGACCCCAGCACAGACAGTATTTTCTCAGATACCACCTGGAAATTATGCACGTAATAGTTTGTTTCCTTTACAGGTAAAGGTGGAAGGCCTTTGTGGTTGTGCAGTCCTGCCTTTTAAGCAGGTGATTTTAGTAGCTTTTGAAGAACGCACTTCAAAACACAGGAAAACCCAATACCCAAACCAGTCCAGTTGTGGGCCGGACTGGTACCCAGCCTAAGGCTAGCGCCGCATGGGCATGCTGTAAGCAGGAGGAAAATGTCATTTGTGCCTCTTGGAAAATCCTCCTATACTCCGTCAACTGTATATTGTGGCATTAATATATGCAAGAATTGAGTCTGCAGTGTTTATAAATGATGGCCGAAGAAAAGCTATGTTTGGTTTTTTTCTGCCTGAACAGCTTTTTTGCCTTTCCTTTTTTTTTTCTGTCATGGATTTGGAGCATGGCACAAAGATCACACACTTCCGTTTCATTGTTTTGAGGGAGTCTGATGAAGCAGCTCTCAGGTTGGTATTGAAATTAGACGCGCATGCAGGAGGCTGGAGTGGACCTCCATGATTGATTGGGTGTGCGCCATGAGCGAGGCAGTCCACTCTGTATATAGAATATTTGTCAATATATGGGTTTATATGAAGCAGTGCGTATCGTGGCATACAACTTGCAAGAGTTTTGTAGTTTCGGTTTGATACAGAAAAATTCCCCAAATGTTATCCAAATTAACTGAACCTCTAGTATTTGGGGGGGAGGAGGGGCAGGGACCAACAAAAAAACCCAAGCATTGAACTCAAAGTCGAACACCTCAGTGCTTCAACTTTGTACCTGTCCTGGAGTTACTCAAAGTTGATCTTTTTTCCATGTTTGTCCCTATCTAACTGTCCTACTTCCAGTATTTCTAACTGATGGCCTAAGACCTGATTTTGGCCTGGGTGAAGCCAGTGCAAATTGTACTTGGTTTTGATGATTGCTGGGTGGGAGAAACACACATGCTGCAGTGTCTGGTAGGGCGGCCCATTAAAAGGCAAACAGTGATGGCGGCAGAATCGTACAAGTACTCCATGTAGGTAAGAAGATGGATAAACATCTGCATGAATTGGTTATTCACCGTGGTCTGTTGGGTTTCTTTACTCTGGTGTGAAGTACGACGGGTTGGTGGTGATGTTTTCCCAGGATCACACAGACACACTCCTGAAGAAAGCACCCCCATATTTAGCGTAGCCCAGCGCACCTCCTTGTAAAGGTTCTGCTTTGGTCTGTGGGAAGCAGCAGCTGCAGATGGTTTCGGAGTACTCAGAGCGTTGGCACGCCACAATATCTGTCTGCAGTAGGAACACGTCACTGGAGATGGCGGTGAGAACGATGAGCAGGGAAATGAAAGATCCTGTTCTGTTCTAAACGACGGTTTGACCATCTCCAACTTTACCCACTGCCTCAGCCTCTCCCCCATGGACAGATTTAAATTTATATTAATATACCTTGAAAGGCAGTACTCTGAATAATGTTGCCAATAATGCTTTAACATCTGCCAGGCTTTTTTAAACGATCAGATCATACCGGGCAAGTGCAGGCGTTCGTTTAAAACTACCTTTTCCTGTAGGGCGATGAATCCCTTTTTCCCACGCGTGACAGACCCCTCCTCTGGTATCTAAGCGTGGGTGCAGCGTGCTGTTGCCTTGCTGCCTGCTGGGGAGCGAGTATTTCCCTCCTCACCTGATGTCTGCCCTCGCCGGGGTCTCCAGAGACACCAACCAGCTGGTCAGAGCAGGAGGTGCTGGGGACGGGGAGGAGAGATGCGTTTCAAGATGGTCAGACGTATTGCGGGAGATGTCCTCTGGCTCTTCTGTCAACAACGTTGACGGTACAGAATTGTAAAATGAGTAACAGGAGCTTTGATGGCATTAAATGTGAAATTGGAAAAGGAAACGTGTCTCCAGAATGACAAAGGCTTGCCAGATAAACCATTAGACTCTAGAAATCTGCTGCTGTTGAATTAAAAGAAGTTTTCTGAAAGGCTTCCATGTGGTATTGTTTCCATTTCCCCCACATTCAAAAAAGAAATATCACTCCGTTCCAGCTGAGTAAAAGCAAGCGTGTACAGCTAACAAATACTGTTACACCTCACCTACCTAATAACCTCTACGCTCAGCCTTTAGTTTTTCTTGCGCGGATCCCAGGATGCAGGAACCCTTCTGTCCTGCAAGTCCACACTCATCCTACCAGTTCTTTTTGCTTTGTGCGTTGGGGTAGTGTGTGAAAAAGAATTGCCTTCTCCCTACCTATTCTCCGTTCACTCGGAAAATACATCAAATACAAGGGGAAGGAGCAGAGAGTAAATGGACAGCAGGGTTTCCCAGATCAGGTCATCCTTGGTCAGTGAGGTGCACCACGGCAGCAGAGATGTTCATCCAGCCGTTACAGCCGTAAGGCGGACAGTCGCCTCCTGCAGCCAGTACCGCTGCCGGGCGCGTCGCGGGCACAGGGAGGTGCAACAGCGAGATAGATAATTAGTCCTCCTCCTTGTAGCCACCTTGCCTTAGCAGCTTTATTTGTAGGCACGGGTTTTGTTTCGCTATTTGTGTGCTTTTATCGTACTTATGAGGTTTTTGCTCTGGAGCTCATTAGCTGTTGGTGATGAAACAGTACAGGGGTTGTCAGAAGTCTGCTCTGTCCTCTGGTCATAGCACAGCGTAGAGAGGTGTATGGTATATGGTTACAAGTCCATCGTCGTCCTCAAAAGCGAAAAATTTGCTGTGAGTATTAAGTTGAATAAGTTTTGCATTGGCTGTAGAAATGCATCCCAAATAACATAACATTCTCACCCTTCCTACTTCGGTCCAGTAATTAGCACAGGGACAGTACCATTGTAGAATGGCCAGAAACCCCATCCTTGCTTAAAAATAGGCATCCAGTGGCATTAGGCTGATTCAGGACTTTGTGCCTGGGGCTGGCAGATATGGCCCGGGACCTGTGGGAAAACCCTTCTGAAGTGGCAGCGGGAGACGTGGGGAATACACGAGGACGTGTTGCGGGACACTGCATTTATATTTATTTTTGCTGCAACGCTGCCAAGCTTCTGTTCAGAATATGCTGTAATACGCCATAATTCAAGTGTCTTAGCTCCTAACAGAAGCCTGGCCCCGGTGAAGCTGAAAATGTTTATATACTCTATTAATGTGTTTTTATATGGGAAGCTGTGCACATACGTATCTTTCTAGTCTTCATTTGCGGCTGCCTTTGTGTTTTCCAGTCCATCATCTTCATTCGTGACCGAAATTCCCATCGCCAGGAGGTGTCTGCGTACATCGACTACGCACACAGGCTGACGACAGATGATTTTGAAGTCTACTTCAGTGGGAAGAAAAGGCTTTTCCCTCGGAACACTGATCTGAGGTATTTATCCTGACTTTCTTTTCACTTATTTGCGTTTATGCAACATATAGTGAAGATTTAAAGGTTTTTGAGTAGGAAGATAGCTTAGGGAAGTGTTGTTGACTGAAAAGCAAACACCATGGATCAGAATTAGTTGCGGAGAACGGCTTTAAGAAGGGTCACTCTCAGATTTCTTTAGTCCAGAGCATAGAACTCAACCAGGGCATTACAACCATCGCCTGTCTCTGCACCTCTGGTTACCCTGAGGAGTCTGTAGACGGTGACCTGCTTTGATCAACAGGAGCGGATGTGTGGTGATGCCGCAGACCACGTCGTCGCAAGCCGGAACATCTCAAGCTTTGCCCACGCTCCACAGCATCCATGGGAGGATGCTTTGCTTTAAAAGTGGGCCCCTGCAGAGGTCTTCTGGTGGAAAATAAGATGATGTGTTACCTGTGATTAATGAGAAACATCATCAATGAGCTTTTTGATGTGTTTTCCTTAAAATAGGTCCTGTGCCTGAGTGCCCGAGAGAGGTGTATGAGAGACGTTTTGTGCACTTGTGTTGGTGAAGGCCAGGCTGAAGAGGCTCAGTGCAGCACAGGTTGGGTCTGACTGATGCAGGGACCGTGCTTAGCGAGAAACGGTCTGGGATACGGCAGGACAGTGCTGTTGGACGCGGAGGGAGAGATGGTAAATGTTTCGGTGAGATGGAGTCCTCTCTTCCCGCGGGTTAGAAGGTGCGAACCGCCAACAACGAGCTGCAATGTCACAAACAGTTACTGTCTCCTGGTGAAAAGGTGTCCAGTACAAAGCAGTTAATGTGTTTCTCCATTTTCTGAGATGGGTTTTCTGTAATGCAAATCGCTGCAAATAGTGTTCAGCCAAACTCTGGTGCGTGTTACAGAGCGAGAAGGCAGGAGCGAGTGTCGGAGGGCACAAGTGGGCTGGTGAAGGATTTGCGTTATTCGTTCATGGGGCAGCAGATGTCAGCAATGAGGCAGAGACACTGAAATCTTTCAGCACTACCTGAGATGGGAAGCAAAAATCCTGGTTTTATGCTTTTAAACCACAGGGGTGAACAGGCAGTTGCTGTTTATGACTGAATTAAGAACAGGAGTGAGCATAACGTTGTGTCTTCTGTGCATAGTACGTCAGTTCTATGTATTAGGATTTTATTAGTGACTCATAAATAAGCTTTTTTAAAGCATTGTTGTCCTACCCAATAAGAAAGGTCACTGTTGTGTCCAGCAGGCATGCTTAGTCCTGGTTTTTCTGAGTTGAAAAAGTTGCATTTAGTTTATGCTTCAACCTCTTTTTCCTTCCCTTGTGTCAAAACTAGGATACACTGCAAACTTCATGGACAGCTCAGTATGTTCTGTCCTTCCAGTGGTAGAATGTAGCTTCAGGTGGTATTTCATTTAAAAAAAAAAAGAAGAAAAAGGGAGGGGAGGTAGAGCATTACTTACAAATAGAATGCGACCTATTCAAAACTGCGTTCGAACTTTGCAGCTGAAGATAAAGGGAAGCTAAGATAGAGCATATGCAGTGCCAGGAAGGCTGGTTCATTTTATTTATGTATACACATACAAATGTGTATGCACTGGCTAAAGAGAAAACCTTCACTTCAAGGTTAAATGATCTGGTTCTTGATGCATCACGTATACAAAGCGGCTTTTCGTGAAAGCCCCGTCACGTCACAGAAAATCTCTAACCGCATTTATGTATCCCATGGTCTGCTGGAGTTGTCGAGAGCCCTATTTTGCATCAGTTAGGTGTCTTGAGAGCAGCGCGTTTCATTCCCACCACGTCTTTCATGGTTAACATTGAGAATGTTATTGGGCAGATGGAGGACAGGTACGAAGAAGCCCGGGAAAAAAGGCTTGGTAGTACTGTACTGATCTAAAAGATTCTCGTTGGCAGAGAACTTACCTTGTCCCCCAAAAAGCTTTTTGTGGAGTAGATAAAAACATCCTGTTTCTTGGTTGGATTCTTAAATGTGACCTTCACCTGCCGGGTCCTGTGTTTGCAGTTGCGTGCCGGGTTAAATACAGCTTGAGCATTAGACGAGTTGTAGTTACGTACACTGTCCTCGCAACTGTCTTCAGCCATTCTTCAGGAATCTAAAAACAATCTTCTTCAAGGTAATTGTGCGCTTAGTGGTCGCCCCTCATCTCGGCAGTGTTATCCCTCTGCCTCTTTGTTTTCTACCCAGCTTCAAAATTTGTCGACACTGCTGTTTGTGAATGGGGATAATTTGACTGTATGTATAATTTTGTGCCTTCAGCTTTGAACCCCTTGTTGAACTCTGAATCTAAGTCTTTTCATCACGTTTTTCTTCCCTGGATACTTACACATTTAGGCAGGTATAAAAACATCCGACTACAGAGGGCATATCAACTTCTCGGGCTGAAGGACCGAGTGAGTGCTTCTGTCAAAAGTGGTTGTTCCTAGAAGTTGTCATATCGGTTTAAGTCGTTCCAAAATACTGCCACCTTAAAGAACACGTCCTTTTGGGAAACTGCCTCACTCGGAGCGTTGCGGAGCCCTTACTCTGGGTCATACTTACCCTTCAGTCGCTTGGGAGATTTACAAATCTCGGATTATGCAGTCGAGGTTAGTATCCTGTGCAGAGCTTTCAGATTATCTTTCAAATATGGAAATCCATACTTTGCTGCAACACGCTTTTTCCTCGGCTGTCTGGGGCTGTCAGAAGACATTAAACTTGGTCCTGCGTACCCTCTGAATCAGATTCTTGTTCGCAATACAAAGTAAAAATGCTGAACAATTAAGTTTATGTGATATTCATACTTTAAACCCGGTGGGTAATATCAGACGGCTCTCGTATTTGATCTACGTGGTTCCTCTGAGTATTTTTGCCATTTTTACTGCATTGCCCTATCAAGGGAGCATTATTTATATGATATAATCCTCATTTGGTTCCAGTTTATTAAATGAAAGGAATGTGTTAGGCAGTCAGTTCTGAAGAGGTCTGGAATCTGGGCTGTAATTGAATCCATTCCCTCTCAGCTAATTTATGTAATCTGATGAGAAACAAGTGTAATACAATTTGTTCAAAGAAAATGGAGAATGTTCACTCTGTGGAACCATACCAAAAAGAGTTCTCTGAATGAAGGAGCACAGCAAAAGATGGAGTTTGGGCTGCCTTCTGTCTGATCAGCCGCACTTGGAGTGTCTGTCCTGGTGAAGGAGGATGAACTGAACGTCTTCCAGTAGAACAGTATTATTTCATGTTTCTGTGAGCTCCCGCCCTGGTTTTTCATTAGTTTTCTTTGCAGCGTGCTAGATAGGGTATTTTTGATACTGTGCACTGTAGTGTTTTGTCCTCACGTTTGGCTCGTGGTTGCGGTGTTTTCCTTTCGTCTCATGAGTGCGCACGTTCTTTTCTAAAGCAGAGCCAGGTAAGGAGCCATTGACGGTAGAACACGGGCCCTAGACTTCCCTGTGAACCTAATGGTCTGAAATCACCTACTTATCTCACCGGCACTGAAACTCCTTTGGTTTTGGCCCCAGCACGCATCGGCCTGAGCGTGGGAGGTCCGGCACCCAGGGCTGTGCGGTGATGCACCTCGTCCGCCATAGCGGCGCATCGTGACATGCATCGTTTCAGACGCGGTGTGTTGTTCTTCGCTACCGGCGGGAACCATCCCATCCGATTCTGCCCTTCTTCTCTCGTAGTCCAGCTGCGCTCTGTTGTGGCTGCGAGTGGGCGCAGCGTTTGGCAGTCAGTCATTAACCGGGGCTGGAATTCCCTCCCGTTTTGTTGTCGGGGATATTCGAAGATATCATCTGTTAATCCATAAAGACCTGCAGGCAAGTCATGGCCGGCAATACCTTGTCGAGCGTGGGGCGTGAGGCAACTTCTCCCTTTCCTGCTCTGTATGTTCTGCTGTTTTCTGGCTTGTTGGGCTTTGAGGGTTGGTTTTTGGGTTTTTTTTTTGCAAATATAACCGGAGGTTGTCCCTGTGCATTGAAAAACCCACAGTTAGCCGTTGCTGCTGCCGCCCTGGCAGTGTGTTTCCATCTGTGGGCTGACACGGACACCCTTTGGTAGCCCACTCATGGTGTGCGGCTGCGGAAACCCTTCATCATCCATTGGCGTGTCGCTCTCCGGCTAATGCAGGAGAAGTCAGCTGCCCGGTGGCGTTGAACGCCTGCCGATCAGAAGCTCATTAGTGTCTCTAACAATGGGATGCTGTGGATGTAGCACACCACTTAAGTCCAAACTTCATTTCAGGAAAAATGTAGAAACATCCTGAGTTTCCAAAATGTGCAATATCCAGTCGTGGAGAGGATTAGGCAGACTCCGCCCACTAATTTGGAAGGATTACCATACTGCTAGCAATGTTACAGTGTGAAGGAATTCAGGATTGAGGAAAAAAATCCCTCTTCAACCTCCCAATTTCATAAGGACTTTCCTGTGAGTGATAAATTTCATTGAACCTCTTAGGAAAAACATACTGGTTTCAGTTTTACAAGGGCGATGCTTTGTTTTATAGTTTACAAAAAGTAGACTTTTTTTTCCAGTTGTTGGTCATCATACTTAATGTTTACAAAACTGTCTGGGTCTTTGGTCAAAACCCCGTTGTGTGTTTGTTGACCAACATCCCGACAATACCAGGCCGGTTGCTGTTAGGACTTTGGGGAACTGGGCGTCAGAGGGTGTGAAGCCATGGAGCACAAGTGGGAACACCGCTGGCGCAGGCTGGTGTCCCTCCAGACGTGGTGGCTGGAGCCCTTCTCCACCCACAAAGGTTCTTCTCGCTATTTATGTGTGACTCATTTCCTTGTATGAAGGTATTCATCGTATACGGGATGTGGTGTCCTAACGCACAGACAGCGCGGCCAGATTTTTGAAGGTTTTCAGTACCTACGCTGTTGTTTCTTCCAGTAGCATTTATACTGTCGCCCATCAGGTTCCTCCTTACCCATGTTGCTGTCCCGTCTTTGGCATCCGGGATTTTTCGTCGTAGTGTTCACATCATTTGGAGGTCAAGTGA